AGTTAATGTATAACATTACTCATCGTTAATGTGTGTCGGGCAATGGCTATTGTAAACAGCGTGAGTTACACATTTTATTTCGTGAGCTACATCGAAACACTGTGTGCAATTTTATTGTAGCTAACTCCATCAACGCGTCATGGTTTTGGCCCAGATATATACATATAGTTAGTATGGAACAGTTTCTGCACCAGCGAGTAGCCATAGCCAGGAACCGTCATATCTCCTAACGTTCAAGCACTTTCTATGGGGCACCTAAATATATCGTCAGCATGCGGTTTAGCAGTACAGTATTATTACAGTTAAATCACATCAAACAAGCTTACCTGAAGCGCTTGGCTAAACCACAAGGTAGAATTCCGACCTCACCGTAAACAAGACATACCGGACGGCGCCCTACAGCGACTCGCAGATGTGTCCGCTTCTACAAATCCGACAACCAGACACACGGATCGTCCAATCATAGCACGAGGTCTCTTTCCGCCTGTTGAAATCTGACCAATTACAGTAGAATTACAGGCATCGTGTTGAGGGCAGCCAATAGGTGAGCGGAGACAAATAAAATAGTCTTCTTTTATGTCCTAGCCTAACCTACTATCCGGTGGCTATACAACTAAATTTTGTTTCCATTCTGAGAAAGTCATACCAGACCAGCATCTATGATAGTCAGTACCCAATACGTCTTACTGCTGAAAGCAGCTAATCTGCTACCATGTAAAAGAGAGGAATATCTCGGCATGTAAAATCCCTTCAGAAAGTTTTCAGACCCCTTCAGTTTTAGCACACCTTGTGGTGTAGATTTACTTTTAAATGGATAAAATGCCCACCAGTCAATATTCAATAACCCATAATGACAAACATGTTTTATTTAAAAACCCAAACACTGAAATATGTCCTTTACAAAAGTATTCAGACATTTTGCTTTGCTGAACCTGACCAGAGTCCACTTGTGGAAAACTGAACTGACCGGACATAGTTTAGAAAGTCATGCACCTGTCCTATAATTCACATTGCATATGGTGTAGCATGGTAGTGGCAGTATCATGCTATGGGGTGCTTCTCACCAGCAGGGACAGGGCGACTGGTCAGAATTAAAGGATGAATGTAGCCAAATGCAAACAGGACCTTGAAGAAAACCTGTTCCAGAGTGCAGCGACCTGAGACTGAGGCAATGGTTTACCTTTTGAGCATCACAACAACCTGAAGCATACAGCCTTCATGACAAGTCTCTGTCTTTGAATAGCCCAGCCAAAGCCCAGATCATCTGTAGGTTTGTAGTGTTGGAGATCATTACTATTGCAGTGTGATTGTTTGCATAATAGATCATCAGCACCAAATCAGAAGCTATTTTCAGTATGGTAACATTTTAATTTCTAACAAATTAAATCATATGCATACTGTATGTGCTGTCATCATTTGTTGTGATGCTTGTTTTCCTTCAGAGCCTTAATATCAAAATTATCTGTATGGCTGCATGTACAATTTATGGCTGTTTGGGTGAAATAGAGCTGGCATTCTGTTTTTCTCCTGAACCATAAAACCGTGTAGCCTACCTATGCCTCACCTGTACCACATGTACCTCAGATAGGCTATTTATGTAGTCCAGCATCATACAAACTGTTTATTTTTTTCTAAGGCGAGAGAAATCTTCTTGTTTTACTTTCGGCTGTTCCCGTTAGGGGTCGCCATAGCGAATCCAATTCCCATGATTAAATTTGGCACCCAGAGGTACCCAAGATTAAACATTAATGAGTAAAATGAGCAGCCATGGGCACTCCATCCATCCATCCATCCATCCATTTTCTTCCGCTTATCCGGGACCGGGTCACGGGGGCAGCAGTCTAAGCAAAGATGCCCAGACTGATGCCCGAGCCACCTCAGCTGGCTCCTCTCGATGCGGAGGAGCAGCGGTTCTACTCTGAGCTCCTCCCGGGTGACCAAGCTCCTCACCCTATCTCTAAGGGTGCGCCCGCCCGCCCTGCGGAGAAAGCTCATTTCGGCCACCTGTATCCGGGATCTTGCCCTTTCGGTCATGACCCAAAGTTCATGACCATAGGTTTACTGCATATAACTTGGGTCTGCATCATCTGATTAATCATAAACGTGTTAGAAATTTGTACCACTACCAAATGTTTGTCCTCCATTACATGTCAAAATGTTGTTTTAATATATAAACTGTTAGCATTTTTTGTTAATTAACACACAGAAAACCTACAGCAACTTATTATTCCATCACAAGTGGCTGCAAGAACCATTTTTTATTAATAGGTCTGACAGTCATTTAATCAATTGATTGTTCAGTGATTAAAATATCAGACAATAGAAAAATGTCATCACTGTTCACCAAAGCCCAACAGACCATAATCAGATTTGTTGTCTAACCAGAAAGTCAACCAGTGTACATCAACAGAACACTGCAAAATATTAACAATAGAAGTGGCACCTGCACACCGACTGCAAGCAACAAAATTTTGCCTATTGAATAGGCTAAATTTCAATCCCAGTCACATCTTCACCGGCCATTTTTACTTATTACTCAGCAATTGATCATGGTCACAATTATTTTTTGATTAAATCAGTGAATCAGTTCTTCAGTGTGCTGGTTAATTTCTAGGTACCTGGAGAAATACTCAAAGTACCATGTAGCTACAAAGGGGGTCAGCTGGGGCCCCAACAACAAAATTTGCTCTGGGGATCTTTAGGAGTTCAATCCATCCAGAGCACCTTAGTCAACATTAAGTTTACACCAGTGAAAATGTGACGATTTGTCACATAGTTACATACTACGCTTTAAATTCATTGACATTGTTATACTTTTTAAAACAAGTTTTACTGGAGCTTCTGAACAAAAACATTTGTTACACATAAGCAATTTTAATATTCCATAAGCTAGAAATTGCGACTTTTGAGCAAACAGTATCACGACTGTTTTTAGCATCTTTTTTCATTATACATTAATTTGCTGATTATTATTTCAGTTGTCTATATGACACAATAAAAATATCTCAGAGCACATGACATGGTGAGGTCATCAACCCGATACCTTAAACCCAAAAATATTCAGTTTACTATGATTACTGCCAAGTTGCTGCATTTTGTGTTGTCACTTCAAACCACTAAAAGTGTGTCCACACTGTATTATGGATGACCATCTGATTTTTAAAGAATATAAATATCTGAATCACCTCAACATTTTATAATATATATTCTAAAATCCCTGGGAGGTAACAGTGATGTATCAGTGACTATAGACAAAGGAGATACCATAGGGCTGGATCCAAATATCTGACTATTCAGACATTCATTCATTGGGTAGGTATCAATGTTAGTATTTCAACTTTCAAAGCTCCTCTGTGGCAGTCACTTAGGTAGCAGACTCTGCTAATCTTTGCTGTTTCTGATTTAAATGACAACCTGTGAGGTCATACCAGCTGTCGCTAACTTAGGTTAAATCAGTGACTCAAACTGAAGACAGGACAAAAGCCTGTGGACAAACAGGCTGTTAGCCAAAGATCGTTTATGAGTAAAGAGGCATCACTCTGTATAACCACTGAATAATGAGAGTGAACTGGGTGCTTTTTTGACATTCCAACAACTCCAACAGAGTGAGACGTCTTCACAGGTAAAACGATCAGTAGATTTCACATCAGTCATGGAAATGTAGTACATTGTGTGTGCACGCAAATCGTTATGAAGATCTGTCGTGTGTTCATCTGTTACATTAAATATTATGTGACCTTTATTGGCTTTTTGTTTTTTTAACCCAAAGCACTGCCAGACGGGCAAAGAGGGTACTTTTAAGCTGTAGCACAATGTCAGTCCATTAACACCCAAATATCCAGAGCCCAAAAACTGCCATTGGGGACAGTCCTAAATATGATAATTACCATGAGTATCTACCTGTAAATACTTGAAGGCATAAAACGGGATCCTTAACAATCCCACATTCCACTCCAATGACAACATCAATTTCCTCACTGCCAAACTGCATCTCAGTACTGAGGTTTGAAAAGGAGGTGGTTAAATTAACAGCCTATCACAGTACTAGCTTTTCCTCTTATAAGTACTGTGTATAATGTAAATGTGTAGAAGTGTAAAATACTCTACAGCAACAAGATAACTATCACATGTCAGTATGCATATGAATGTCAAGGAGAATGACTGTGTAATCTAAATGTTCAGAATAAAATCAGTGAGCCTTAAAATAAACCCACAATGTGATCTGGTTCTCAGGAAAAAACATGGCTGAGAGCAACATCACATGAGTTATTTATTTAAAAACAACGCACAGAAAATAATAACTGTGCTAATCTGACAACAGTCTTGGAAGAACAAACTGAAGAAAGACTGAGGGCAAAACATGAATACTGAGATTGACAGTGATAGTTGTGATTGATCACCTGGCTGGACATAAGTCACGTATAGAGCTCAAAGTCCAGTCTCTTGGAGTTGTAGAATTGAGATCCCTCCTGGTCCACCCTCCTGCAATACACGCCATTGCTGAAATAGCCTTCATCGACCCAATCCTACAAAAGAGACAATAAGATGATTAAAACCTGTCGGACCAGACTGAGGTTAAAGGTGGAAACAGCCCGCAACCCACTATTTTCCTAAATATAATGAGATTTACTAATAAGTCGGGGGCGGCTGTTGCTCAGGAGTTAGAGCGGGTCGTTTCCTAACCGGAGGGTTAGCAGTTTGATTCCCGACTTGTCCAGTCAACATGTCGAAGTGTCCTTGAGCAAGACACTGAACCCCCAATTGTTCCCGGTCATAACACCGGTGTGTGAATGTATGAGCGTTTGTGAATGCGAATGGGTGAATGGCCAAGTAGTGTGAAAGTGCTCTGAGTGTGCTGTAAAGCATAGAAAAGCGCTATACAAGTATAAGACCATTTACCATGTCCGTAAGTATCTGGACAGTGATGGTTTGGCTCCAATGTTGAAGGACTGAAATTTTTTTTTATTTTTTATTATGTCATTGTCAAAAATACTTACGGACCCAAGTTTGGGTACAAGTTACAAGGTTTTTGCATGTACTTTGACTATAACTTAAAAAAGACACACTTGCCTGAAATCACAATATGCATAAAAGCTATACTATATAATCTACAAACTCAAGAAGTGTAGGAGAATACCTGCATCTGTTGACTGGTGAAGGGTCCATAGACTTCTGCGTTATTGTCATTGTCCCATTTGTACTCCCACATCACTTCATCACTCACTGAGGAAAGACAAAATTGGATTAAGCAAAACAAGATTATTTATGACATCGAAGACAAACATAAGTAACACGTAGCAACCTATTTTGTTTTCCTCCTCCTCTTTATCCTCTGATCTGCCATCGTGGGTTTCATCAAATTTATCTGCAAACATGTCAAGTTCATCTTCTTCACCACCACTAGGTTTCTGCCCCACAGCTGGCCTCTTGCTGCTCATGCTCTTCAACAAATAGGCCAGCTTTTCATATGTTTGCTGATAGATTTCAAACATCCCAGATCCAACCAGTCTGTCAGCTAATGCTGTGAGCTTATCGAGCTTTTCTGCATCCCTTTTGGTCTCCTCTGTGGGTTCACTCTCTTCTTTCAGCTTTCTCTTCTTTCGTCCTCCGAGGCCTCCTAAACGGCGGAGCGCTGCAGCAACCGTCTCGCCAGGCAGCAGCAGTTCAACTACGGCTTCAGTGAGCTGATGCTGTGTGTAGGATGCCAGTGGATCCTCAGCAGGCTCCTTCTCCTTCTCCTCTTCTTCATTATCATCGTCTGCCTGCTGCTCTTCTCTCTGTCTCTCTTCCTCGGCCTCATCCTCATCACCGGCTCTGCGTGTACGTTTAGCTCCAAGACCTTTCTTCTTTTGTTTGAAAGGTTGTTCTTTTACTCTCACCTGGAAGAAGAAGCTTATATTACTGCACATTGCTCAGTAACACTTCAAATGTGAAGCAAAAGTCCCTAAAATTCAATTACCCAGTCAATGTTGTCAAGCCAGTTGTCTCTAATCTGTTGTTCTTTTTTAATGAAATAGTTCCCCTCAGAGTCAAAGTGCCCTTCCTCCATCTCCTCTTCCAGGTTGAAAGGTGTTATGGAAACTCCCTCATCAAAGTCAATCGTTGCACCCTCTTGGCCTGAGAACACAGTCAGTCATATTTTTAGGTAACATCATTACTGACAGTCCATGTTTTAGATAAAAATACTATTTTGCTAGACTTATGGCACTTATAAGAAGCAGTAACGGAAGAAGGTTTTCCAGTGTAGAAGAATTTGGCTCCTTCTTATTAAAAGCTTACTTCCCTAGGTTTTTCCAAATTTGGCTCAGTGTGGGGAAAACCTTAGATATACACTTGTGCACAACTGTATGTGCAGCACAGCTGAAGTGATTTATCATATAAAAGTCAATAGCCATGTCTAAGCTACACATCACAACAGTTACAGTTTAAAAACTCAACAAGACATACCTTCCACATCATCGCTGGCCAAAATGTCATATTTGCTGCTCTTTGTGTCCTCCCCTTCATCCTCTTCATCACTATCAAGGGAGTGCTTACCCTTGAACCTAGAGCCTGGTCCACTGACAACCTCACAGCTCTAGTCAGTAAAAGAAAGAAAAGAAAATAGCTAACATTAAAAATCACACAGAACAAGGGACCTTCTGCACTTTATATTAAAGTCTTAAGGAAAACGTGCCTCAAATAGCTTGTCTATAAATAGTCAGAAAACCCATTATTGCTTTTATTCAACAAAGAGTCCAAAACACAACAGCTATAGTCAGCTTACAGTCGGGTATGACAGAGGAAAGCAGCAAACCTTTCCATTTGTGTAGCATTAATCAGCAATTGTTTGCAATTTATTCTTACGTTTAATTGCGATTGATTGAAACGACTGATCAAAGTAGTTATCAGTCGTTTACCTGTCCAGCTAATCACTTCTCCAGTTACTCGTAGAAAATAGCTTAAAATTGTAATTGAGTAATAGAATCCTGAGGTCGCATAATTTGGTGAAACACCTGTTTTAAGAAAAGCATTTTCTCGTACTGTAAATGCAAACTGTGTTGCTTTCTTTAACCTTAACATTTCTCAGTTCGTCATTATATCGTATCCTGACAAACTAATCTATTATCCTCAAACAACACAAAGCTGTCTCCTACTGAAACAATACCGCGAACATTACCTTTTTATTTGGGAGATCGTCTTCCAGGTCAAACTCCCCGTTCCCGTCTTCAAATGTTACTTTCCTTTTAGACATAGTGCTACAGAAGGAAAGTCAATGACTCTTTTATTCCTATAACACAACTAAACGTGAGCTTTAACACTAGCAAGTAGCATTATTTATAAAAGTTTCACAGATTACATTCATGTAACGTTGTATATTTGAGGGGGTAACGCAGGACTCGTGTTAGCTTTGTTGCTAAAAACGTTAGCAAGCTAACTGCAAACACAGCACATGCAGAACGAGCGAAGCAACCTAGCTAGAGGTAAGATATCATTTATTCGCGTAATTAATATAAAATATTTGCACACCACCAGGGTAGAATACACAAACATCGTTACTGATATTTTGCAATAAACTGCGACAATACCTTCTAAAAATAATTCAAGCGACGTTTTCGATTCTTCTTCGCTTGTTGCTTTCTTCTTCTTCTTTTCCTTAGTATCTGTGTGGGATGGTAAACAAAGACGTGACCCATTACCGCCACTATCTGGTGAGGAGTATCTGGGTTAACTATGCTGTATGTGGGCTTGAACATTGTATATTGTTATAGGAAATGGAGCTAACAGGACATTGTTGGCCACCAAAGGACTGGAACCACAACGAATCAGTCGTTAGGGGACATCTTTGGCCGTCGAAGGACTGAAACATCAACTGGGGGAGAAATACCTCTTGCTCACCACCAGTCAGACAGAACTGATGAAACCTCTTGGATGAGAGGTGAAACGTCCTCTACCTAAAACTATGTCCAGATGAGTTTTTTCTACATTTTTTCAGCATAATTTGCTGAAGTGACTCTTCCTTGGTTCATGCATATGATGATACTCGCCATATGATATGAAAGTTTCTATTATTAGATTATCTACCAGTGGACTATTCTGAATGACACTACATTCCTGACACTACAGATTTTCTGGGTCTGACTTGACTTTTACCCACTGCAATCCTAAAATTATAGCAACTTTCAATATGTCTCTCTGCTTTCACAAGTTACTGATAGCAACATATTTTGTTTTGTTTGTTGTGTCATGATGGTTTTCTTTCCTCTCTTCTCTATTCACTCACCCCAACCGGTTGAGGCAGATGGCCACCCAGCAAGAGCCTGGGTCTGTTGGCGCTTTCTTCCATTTAAGGGAGTTTTTCTTCTCCACTGTCACCAAATGCTTGCTCAAGAAGGATCTGTTGCATTTTTCTCTATAACAGTGTAAGGTCTAGACTTTACTATGTAAAATACCCTGAAATGATTTGGCACTATAAAACTGAATTGAACTAAACATGATTCTTCTTGTAAGATAAATAAAGAGAGACAGATTTGGGCCTAACAATGCAACTGTGGGTCACCTTTGTGTATGAAATGCGCAATGAGATGAAATGAAATAAAGTTCCCTTCCCTTGCCTGAAAGCAGAGAAGAAGATTTGAGATATTTGGTTCTTCCTTAAACAAATATTCATTGTAGTTGACAAGTAGCTCTGTGCAGAATCAACCATCTACCAAGGGACAGTGGCACAACATCAGAAGTTAAACTAAAACTCATCAGACATCACGAAAAGTGGCAAAATGCAGAAGTGAAAGAACCGAGGCACAGCTGCATAGGACCTGAAACGTCACTTCATCATCTAACATCTCACTTCCAGGTGGCGGTTCTCACCAGGAAGGCTGCTTTTAGCTGCTCGTTTCAGCTGAGTACAACTCATCAGCTCAAGGTGGACTGAAGCCTAGAAGAGAGAGAATATAATGTGTCAGGATTCTGTTACTAGGAACTGGGTCAACTTATTTATATTTCAACACTTGTCCTCTCGTACCAAAGGGAGAACCAGTATAGTAACCTGAAACTATGTATTGAAGCGTTGTCTGGTTCTTGATGCATCGGACTGAAAGAAAAGAACTGACTCCACATTTGGGAACAACAAGGACCAGAAGAAAATATCTGTAAATGTAAATAACGGATTGACAGTGTAGAAGGGTAGCATGAACCTGTGAGGCATTTAGCATTGTCAGAGGTAAGTCTGAGTCACTGTTTTCTATCCTGTCACTATACATGAACTTGGTAGGTTTTTATTGGTAATAGGTATTTGGTTTTACTTATCCATCCATCCATTTTCCTCCGCTTATCCGGAACCGGGTCGCGGGGGCAGCAGTCTGAGCAAAGATGCCCAGACTTCCCTCTCTCCAGACACTTCCTCCAGCTCCTCCTCCTGGTTTTACTTATGTATTTTTAAATGTTATTTGTATTTGATTGTAATTAATGCAGTATATTTACTTTTACAGTATGATCCTGGTTCCAGTTCAGTCTTAATTATTAGATTATTAGAAAAGCACTTTACAGTTTTTCCAGTAACCTTACTGGAAATGTGTGACATTGAATTTGGCCTTTGACTGGAGATTTAACTCATGGTGAAATTAGACTGTAAAAAAGTGTGTTTTTGATCAAATTGGATTTAGCTATATTGTATTTTAAATATACACAGTTTCATAAATTTACTCCAACCCTCAGCTGGTGAGCCCATATGTGGTTTGGTCATTTGTGAGCATGCGTGTGTGTGTGTGTCCCTTCTCTCTGGTCACAAGGTTTCTCAGACTTAGGTGGGGCACAATTTCATCTTTGTTCTGGACTTGTTTACACACCAGTGTCTTTATTTACTTGTTCAAAAAAGCAAGACTTGGTCTGTTCTGCATTTTTTTCAAATTGTCTGTGGATCACTCTCAGAACCATTTTCTCAATATCAGGCATTTATTTCTCAAGAGTGATGAAAAAAATTAATTGAACAGGTCTTAGAGGTCAAAAGTGTTCTGTCAAAGTGAAAGTAACACTTTCTGTCAAAGTGAAAGTGTTACTTTCACTTTGACAGAGTCCAGAACAAGTCCAGAACAAGTCCAGAACAAAGATGAAATACACTTTGACGTATGTTATTATGTGCCATAAAGGTTGACAGACTTTGATCTAGCGTGGAAAGGTAGGTGGGGCTTAGCACATAGCTGACAGGGCCATAATCCTTCAACTTCACACTTCAGTTTGACAGATACTGTCCTTTATATCTCTCTTAAGCTGCTCACAACATGAACACATTTGACATTTGACGAGAGGCCCCCAAACTGTTTTTCATTAGAGGTCACAAGCAAAAGAAGTTGGAAGTAATGAAAACTGCATTACATTTCTGTAAAATATTCTGATCTACAGGTCATGCAGTTTTCTGCACAAATATATTCCAAATGTAAAAGCACTTTCTCATCTTTAGGTGCTGGGATGAAGCTTCATGAGAAGATATTGACCCATTTCCTATCATGTACCTCTCCCGTAGATAAAGAGGGATATCTCTACAAAAAGGTTTGACAATAAAATAAAAACAGACAACATGAAATGACTCAGTCTTTCCTCATGCTAGTGAGTAGAATAATCCAGCTTTACTTTCATATATTTATTCATAGAAAGAGCGAACTGCCACCTACCATCGGCGGTGGTTTGTCCTGAAAGCGAACCTGCTTTTCTACCAGGAACGCCCAGCTGACCGACACCTACTGGGTGTCATTGTGCTGGAGGGATGTACAGTAACGCGTTCAAAATCTGATGGACAGTTTGCCTTTTCCCTAGTGTTTGATAGACCTGGACTCAAAACCTACAGATTTGCAGCAGTGGATCATCAGACTCAAGAGAGCTGGGTGAAAACTTTGCTCTTGGCCAGCCACTGTTACCTCTCCCTGCTGGTGAGAGACCTGGGGAGGCAGTATGAAGGTGGGTTATCATTGTTGTCACCGTGTCCTATTTACTGTTGTCTATAGACTGAAGTTTATGGGTATTTGTGTGTGTCCGTTGATGAAGTATGAGAAAATGGACTCCTGGGCACAAACAAGGAAGAGCTCCCCCTCACCTTCTTTCAAAGCTCCAGATGGTTTGGTAAAGGTGTTTCTCAAAGATCCGTTTTAGACCCATTGCTTTTTACCCTGTACATTAATATTTGTCTTCCAGCTGAGCACTGCAATGCCTATTTTTATGCTGATGAGGTCATTAGTGTTTGTGAGTTTTTATAGTTGCTCGGTCTAATATAGTTCCTTATTCTAATAAAATGGTTTGCGATTTATGGTTTGTATACTGTATTTACAGGACTACTTTTTGGCAATAAGCAGTTGTGAGGCAATAAGCAGGAACTCCAGGAAGTAACTGATCCCAGTTGGGCACATAACCCCCATGTAAAACCTGCAAGTTGTTGTTTTTTTTACACTTCTGTGTTTGTATGGTGAGACATTTGAGATATAGTGTTAATTTGTGATCCAGAGCCAGCCTGTTTCCACCTGTTTCCAGTCTTAGGGCTAAGCTAGGCTGACAGGCTGCAGGTTGTACACAGGTATGAGAGTGGTGTCAGTCTCCTTATCAAGCTCTGTCCCTAGAAAGAAGGTTCTGTATAAAAAATATTTATTATTATCAGTATGTTATTATTAATTTCCTGTTTTACATCTGCAGAAGCTAAACAGCAGCAAGGCTGTGGCGAATCCTTTCACAGCTCCTCAGGCAGTGTCCTCCAGCAGTCTACGACCAACTTCTCCCTCCTTGTGCAGAACCCAACAGCAGTGGTTAGGGAGGGGAGAAGCTCCAGTGCCAGCAGTGTTTTACAAGCACCTTCATTACCCACCAATGTGGTGGCTAAAAGGTCCCCCAAACTGTGGCCCAGGAGAAACGCTCACGTCACTCCACTTAATGGACCAATGCCATTGTATGGCGAATGGCCTTTGGTGGGTTTTGATCCACTCCAGGAGTTCAGCAAACTTCATGATTATTATGGCCTTGAAGTGAAGAAAGCAAGAGAGGAATGGCTGAGGAGAAGACCAGCAGAAAAAGAGCACAGTGATAAAGATCTCATTGACCTGGGATAAAACAAAACACTTGATAGTTAAAGTGAAAAAGCCTTGAAGAGGAACTGAGATGGAGTGATTCGTGTGCATCATAACAGGAACAGAAACTGCAGTATTTTGAGTTATACTGTACCTAATACAGAGTTTCAGGGCTGGACATATGTAAATTTGTTAAAAGTACATACAGTATGACAGTAAATATAGTGTCTCATATTATCAGCTTACTGTACATCTTTTCTCTTTATTTCACAGTAAGCTGTAATTTGCTTGAGCCAATTCGACAAACAGATGCTGTTGGTGTCTGCATATCTGCACTTTTAGTAGAATGTAGATTTTAACTTGTTATAAAAAAGGCATAGGTGTTTGTGATAACATTAAGAATGGTTCTGTTTTAGTCAAATGTCTCAATACGCCATGACAGTGTGATAATGAATAAGTATGCACAAAACCAGGACCCTGAAACCCCGTCTCACTGTATTTCAGCTGTAATTTCTTATTTCCGCCTGTTCTTTTTCTACTGCAACATGTCAAAATGTCTTCTATAAAAAGTCTCAGGTCTTGAAAAGGCTCAACAAGTACAGATTTTAATTTTCTCATAAAGGCCTTATTTTAAAGTTTGTGTAAATGTAAATAATGTAATAAATAAATGTAAGTGTAAATAATTTTTACAGTTTGCTGCATATACAGGTCCAGGCTGCATTTAATCATCACTTAATCATTTTATTTTGTTAAAATATAATATTATTTGCCATTATTGATACAGTACATACAACTGGATATACTGACATATATGTGCTATAAATGTCAGTTATTTGTATAGTTCTTAAATAACTTCAGTCTCTGTTATCCCTACTGGTTTTTACTGGTATATTACTAAAGGTATGTTGGGTGGTAGGAAACAGTATTATATTGCATTCTGTGTGGCATTCAAATGTGTTTAAAAGTTTCAACCTGTTTCTAATTAGACTATTACCTGTTACTTCATGTGTGGTGCAATTAACAATGTCACCCATGGCATATAAAGGTTTTATGATACAGTATTATGCAAACAGTATTATATATTTTTCATTGTGTGAAAAAAAAATAAAAGTTGTCTGTTGATTTTAAAAGTCTTGTCGTTTTAGCTGACATGTTAACACACAAGATGCTGATACAAACACAAGCATGATTTTATTTAAAATGCCTGGATCGTTAAGTTTTAAAACATAAAAATGTTCTCAGTAGATTTACACTGAAAAATATGGAAATAACTGTGAGACATGTAAAATTTTCCACATCACGCCATAGGTTACACCAATTATATTAATGGCTTTGTAATTTTATCTTAAATTCAGGTCCAGATCATAAAGTTGAAAATATGAACTTTATTTTCTAGAAGTACAGGGAAACATGGACAAAAGCTTAAGAAAGATACTTGTCTATTTTGTGTAATGGCACATGGTCATAAAAAAATAAGTTGAAGCAATTTTTATCCTTGAAGCAGGCAAAGCTACATAAACAGTACATTTATGAAAACATCAACAATAATAAAGCTTAGAAAATTAATCTGTGCTCCCTTTAAATTCTCAAAGATCCATGATATGACAGTCAGTAGAGGATAGCAACCAGCAGATGGCGGTGCAGGCGCAATGTGTGAAGTCAGCCAGCTGATTTAGAGTATGCAATCTTATCAGTATGAGTTAGTATGAGACAAAAATACTGCAGCTCCTGTTAAAACTGACTACTGAGGCCCTTTAAATGAGTCATCCACTCTTTTATGCATTACAACATGTCAAACTGTAATTTCCATTAAATCCACTGTGTTAATTAGACAAAGCAACATCCTCAGCGAAAAACAGCAGTACTGTGCTAGGCTAGTACTAAAGTGCCTCCTTCATGTAAGGGCTGACATCTGACCTGCGTAAACTTTACTGTATGGCAATTAACATAACACAATCGTAGATGGATTCAATTTCATGAGTCTGGCAGGTAGTTTACATACCAGAGTATATCACTACAAACTCTGACATCTCCCTGCATAGGTCAAGCTGGGAGCTTCTCCACATTCCAGACTCTACAGACACACATACCAGTCTTGTAAAAAGAATGACAGATACGTGGTAAGATGCTTCACATTACAGCAAAGGACCCTGCAATGTACAATCTGTATGGAAACACTTCCTGAGGATAGCAGTGTGTAAACACATTGTGAAGCGATCCCATTCTGTTTTTCTTACACTGTTGTAAAATCAGAAAGCTGCATCAGCAGACTGACAGCGAAAAGTCTGAGATGTTGCTGCTTGTGGTGTGACATGTCCAACTTTTTGTCACTCATAATATACATAAAAAAGTGGGCAAAATATGCAAGAGTGCAAATTTTAGTGCAATAGATGTGAGATTTTTAACATTTATTTAAAAACAGCAATTTCTCAAGTCTTCTTTTTTAAACTTATTTATCTCTTAGTAAAGGCTGATTTGTCTACAGAAAATCTTGTCACACTATGAAAAAAGCATTTAATTTTATATTTTTTATATATAAAATTATATGTGTATATATATATATGTACTGTAGGTAAATAAATAAATAAAATGAATGAACTATTGAAACAGGCTCATTAGATAATGTAATATGATTAAAAATATTATTATTAATTATATGGGTGGGATAGTAACCCAACCCCTGAATTTTTTAAGATCTAATTTATATTTTAAAAGATGCTTTAACATCTTTCAAGGATTTTACCAAAGTTGGTCCCTAATGTTTCCTATAATTTGTAGGATTGTGGGACTTGTTAAAATAAATATAAAATTAGGTTTTTTAAACCATACAAAAAGCAACATTTAAGGCCTGACTATGCTCTGTCCAAGGTCACATTAGGTTGTATTACCCCTTAAAGTTACTGCTGCTATGCACTTTTAAGGTAAATATAAAAAGCTTCGGGGTCCTTCTAAAGTTTAAAATAAAGGGCTCTGCTTGCGAAGTTGACGCCCAGCTGATCTACAGAAACAACCTGTTCTAAACCTACCACCTTTTCCCAAAAAGTACAAATGACACAACATATGATGGGACATATTTCATTCCTGCAACAAGGTGGTGATTACCAAGTGAACCATGGGTCAACAGTCAATGCCAACACAAGGGCAGGGCTGACCGCGTCAGGCGGCGCTCGTCCTGAACCCTCACTCGAAATAAATGTCTGTTTAATCCAATTTTAGGTCGAACCGATCGACATCTTTGGCCATTACCGACCTGATGGAGGACATTACAAGTGCTATGGATGAGAAGAAATACACGGTGGGGATATTTATTGACCTAAAAAAAGCATTTGACACAATCAATCATGAATTATTAATGGACAAGTTAGAAAAATATGGGATCAGAGGAATAGTTCTGAAATGGATTAGAAGTTATTTGACACAGAGGCGTCAATTTGTGAAGTTGGGTGAATACCAATCAAGTGAGCTGGACATTGTATGTGGAGTGCCTCAGGGTTCTGTTTTGGGACCTAAATTATTTATACTATACATTAATGATATATGCAAGGTTTCTGATTTAGTGAAAGTGGTTTTATTTGCTGATGACACTACCATATGGGCATCGGGTGAAAAC